CTTATAGGGTTTATACTGAGTACAATATTGTATAACTGTAATAATTCAACTGTAAACCTAAAAATTTACAGCCAAATTTGAAAGAGATGCATCCTACCTCAGGAAAACGTTATTGAATATGTCAATTGTGTTGTAATGATATGCTTCTTCTAAGTATGTTGTTATTAAGTAAATCATTTAAAAAAAATAAATCTTTAAAAGAGACATTTAAGAAAAAAAATTTTTACTTATGAGTATTTTTGTCTGCATGTACGACGTATGTGCACTTGTGTGCAATGCCTGTGGAGGCCAGATGAGAGCACTGGATCCCCTGGAACTGGAGTAATGGACAGTTGTTAACTACCACGTCGGTACTGAGAAATGAACCTGGATCCTTTGTAAGAGCAGCTTAACCACTGAGCCATCTCTCCAGCCCCTGAACAATGTTATTAAAAAGATTAGAGATGGACATGGTGACTCACACCTGTAATCCCTGCACTCGGGAGGCTGAGACAGGACTGCTGTGAGTTGAAGGCCACCTTGGGCTACTTCCTCTATAGTGAGGTTCATGTTAGCCTGAACCCTCTCCAAAAAACAGGACAGAAAATTTGTATCATACAGATTTGTGGCTCTTGTTTCCTGGCTGCAAAGGAGCTACAATTCTGGGTTAGAGGATCAGTGAAAACAATCCCATCTGTAGCCCGGCCTGAAGGAGCAGGAGATAGAAGTTCAAGGCCTGCTTGGACTACGAGAGTGGTTTGAAGGCCCACCAGGGCAACTTAGTGGGACTCTGCTTCAAAATAAAAATTTAAAAGAGGGCTGAGGATATAGCTCAGGGATAGAGCTCCTGCCTAGAATAGGTCACTGAGGGGCTAGGCTGTTGCTCAGTGGTAAAGCACCTGCCTAGAATCCCCCAGTGAGGGGCTAGAGTGTGGCTCAGTGGTAGAGCACCTGCCTAGAATCTCCCAGTGAAGGATCAGGGTGTGGCTCAGTGGTAGTGTGTGCCTAGAATCCCCCAGTGAGGGGCTAAGGGCATGGCTCAGTGGTAGGGTGCTTGCCTAGCATATTCAGGACCGATAGGTTCAATTCCAAGTACCAGAGGCAGGGGAGGAGGGGACACCAGGGAAATATATCCACCCACAACCCACCCCTGGGTCTACCCAGAGCTTCTCCCATACTGACTGTGAAGAGCTGGGCCACCTACACAGATCACAGGACACTCACTGTAAGAATATGAAAGATAGTTTATTCTATCTAAATTCTCCATTAAAGTCTTTAAACATAAAAGCTCTGTAAGAAATGTCACAACTTAGTGTCCTCTACCATCATAAATAAAATATACACTAAGAAGTATACTATCAACAGGTGTGTCCTCAACATGAGGCCGTAAGGTGAGAGCTTACCCAATCAACTTAGAAAACTGAGGAAGGGCTGGAAGGGGGTTGGAGACACCTGGCGGGGATTTGGGAGACAGGCGCTAGGGGAGTCAGGTGCTGGGGATGACGGTCCTACAGCTCACTAGGGAGGAGGCGTGCGGAAGCGGATTTTCTTGGCTGTTTCCACATCAGACTTGGCAACCAGAAACCACATCTTTGTGCCTCCATTTCGGATCAGATCTACTGCCCTGAAATCAAAGAAGGAAGTGCAGGTGACATGGAAAAGCCAGAGGATAAAACCTTAGTCAGGGTTGAGACCCTGCTTCTTCCCTTCCTGAGGGTGCAGGCCCTCCCTGGCCAGCCCTGTGTCACAGACAGGCAGGGCAGATACCTCGAGTAGCTGACGCCCATTAAGCTGTTGCCGTTCACCTCCAGGATTCGGTCTCCCAGTGACAAGCGCCCATCAGATGCTGCAGGGCTCCCAGGAAGCAGGGTCTGGATGTAGAGCCCCGGGGCAGCCAGAGGTGTGTGCTGGGGAGAAGTAGGTGCTTCAGGACCCTGAGATACACTGTCTCCAGTAGCCCCTGCAGCCCCCTCCACCCTGGGAACATGCAGGTCTCATCCTGGAGCTAGCAAAGCCTACAGATTATGGTCCGTGTGAGTCCCATAAGGAAAAGCTCTGGGCCCCAGAGGTGCTATGAAGGGCAGGCCTGGGAAGCAGCCCAGGCTCCTCCCCACTGAGTGGACCATGGCTAGTTCATACAGGAGAAGTCTATGAGAGAGGGCAGAGAGGGCTGAGGTGCAGGGTCCTCACCATCCCATCGATCAGGCCCATGCCCAGCCCCGATGGGCCCCGCTCCAGCTCCACCATGAACACGTAGCAGAAGTCCTCAGTGCTGGAGCTGGGGCTGGAGGACTCTGCAGCAGGCTCATCAGCAGCTGAAACATTGTCTTCTGGGTGGGCAGAGAGTCGGGGGATGAGGAGCTGGCAGGGCCATATGCCACTGGTCACTCCAGGAGTCCTCCATGGGAACCTTATGGAGGACACTGAGAAGTCCCAGAGGACAGAGGATAGGGAGTGCTCCTGGAGACCCAGGGAGGTAGCAGCTGGACAGAAGGTGACAGCAGGTCCAGGAGGAGCAGGCCCACACTCAGCCTGAGGCTGCCACGGGACATTGGCCCCTCGCAGGCCAGCTTTTTCCCAGAGGTCCAGGGCCCAATGTGTGTGCTACATACATTGTCAGCCTGCCCCATTGTCTCTTCACTGCCGTCCTCCTCCTGCCTCCATACCCCCAAAATGTAACTCCATCCATCCCCACTGAGGCCCCTTTTGCTAAGCAGACTTTCCCCAGCCCAACCCAACCAAGGCCCACCCTGAGGCCCCAGGCTCTCTCTCCACGACAGCACTTGTATCAGGGTGGGGGCATTGAGTTCCCACATAACAGTTCTGAGCTCCAGTTCAGCACCTGAGCAGGTGGCTGGCCTTGCCCTGCTCTGCTGGGTAACCAAGGCCAGGGTGCCTCTGAACTCAGAGAAGAAAAGGCATGATGGAGCCCACACCAGGTCAGATGGGCAGGACAACTGGGCCCTGAGCACCCTACTCAGTGGGCCCCACTGCACACATAAACACACACACACACACACACACACACACACACACACGGACACTTGCACACAGCACATAGATCTGCTCACACACGTGTACAGACGCACCTAGGCACGTGTGTCCACCCTCACTGTCCCTGGTGCAGACAGTGAGGCAACATTCTGGAAACTGAACATTCTAGCAGAATGGTCTCAAGGGGACCTGCAATTAAGCACAAGGTAGGGTCTGGGACCCAGGGGTGAGCAGAGTGGGCCTCACCTTCTAGAACAGTACCAGGGGGGGCACTTGGTCCATTCCTCTGCTCTTCAGGGAGTGCTTTTCCAAGGCGGCCTCCTGGCTCCAGGCCCAGCGGTGTGCTGGGAGGAGTGAGCAGGCAAGAGGAGTCAGTACGCAGGGGGCCAGCCTGGGAGCCCTTGCGGCCCCCTCGGCCAGAATGCCTTCCTGGGGGACCCTGTGCCCAGGGAGCTGAAGTAACAGGAAGCGAGTGGGCAGGGGCAGCTTCGACGACTCCTCTGCCCGCATCCCTGTTAGCCGGGGAGCAGCTGTGGCCTTCAGGGTGCCCCTCAGGGATGGTATGGTACAGGCCCTGAGGAGAGAGGTGGGCGACAGCTGAGGCCAGTGAAGGAGGGGGGGGGCAGGCAGATATGGTGCCTCCCTGTGAGGGAGAGGAAGGTAGGGCCACCCACAAGTCACCCTGCAAGACATGGACTGCCAGGCTGTTCCAGGCACAAAAGATGCATGCGAGTTTGCACAAATCAGAGACAAGAGACCTCAGTCCTGCCTGCCCCATATCCCAGCCTCCTGGGATCTGTGCCTCCTTGATGGCCAAATGAGGGCTGTTCCAGCTCACCTTGTGGCCATGAGACACACCAACATCCCTGTCTCACCCTACCTCAATGACCTCAGTCTGGGCAGGCCCACTACCAGGACTGGCTTGGCCCCGCAGACCCCATAGGAAGTGGCGGGTGTAGAGCAGGTGCTGGTAGATGCTCTCATCCAGGCAGTCAGCCTCCAGGTCCACCTGGAAGCCCTCACTTGGTAGGACAATGGGTGGTGGGTTTTCGTAGGACTCCAGAACTTCCTCTGCAGTGGAGAAACAAACATATATGTCTGTAGTGTATGATCCCGAAGCTCTACCCGGGCTGTGTGTGTATGTGTACACACATGAACATGCATGCTCGGAGTTGAGGAATGTATCTCATGGGCTTCGTTTCCTGATTAATTGGGTGCCACCTGAGCCCCAATATGAGGCCCTGAGAATAGTAGAGACCTCGAGTCTGAGCCTGGAGTCCATGACTCTTGGGTCCTGTGGCCCTCATCTGTGCAGGTTCCTCAAGGTCTGAGATGGGGGTGATAGAGTCTCCCAAGTTCCCACCTCAGTGGTCTGATCTGGTGCTTTCTGAGCCTGGGGGTGAAGGTTCCCCAAGTCCACAACCCAATGCACTGAGCTCCTGGGAAGGCTTACCTGACTGGAAGGCCTCAGGGCTGTCCTGAGCTCCTGGCTCCCAGGCACTCATGGGGCCCATGGCAGAGGCCAGCTGGTACTGAGTCAGCAGCCGGTGCAGTTGAGCAGGGCTCAGGGCAGGAAATGTGGTCCGCAGTGTGGCCCAGCTCATCTAGGGACAAAGAGGTACTTGGGTCAAAGGTCTCCAGGGCTATGAGGCAGTCCCCTGTCCATAGGCCCAGGGAGAGTCCATTCTGGTGCAGGGGTTTCTAGTCTGGCACATATCATCTCTCCACCTGCCTGCCTCCTCACTCCCACCAGGGGCCATGTAGATAGCAAGGAGCTCAATGAGAGAAAGACATAATTCATGAGGCAGAGAACAGCACACAGAGTACCTTGTCCAGTGAACATGGCCCTCATCATAATGAGCTCTAGTTGAGAGGAGAGCTAACTGTAGGGGGGTGAAACTGGATCCCTATCTGTCTAAAAGAAACCAAACATGGCCTAGGCCTGTAATCTCAGCTCCAGGGAGGATGAGGCAGAAGGCTTGACATAAGTTTGAGGTTAGCCTGAGCTAGAGTAAGACCCTGTCTCAAGAAGAAAGGAAGAAAGGAAAGTGCGGGAAGAAGGAATGAGCAAGGGAGGCGGGGAGCAACAGAGAACACAAAGATGAAGAAACCAAGCATGTTGTGTAAAAGGCAGAAATTATATTATCTAGATGCTGTGAGATTTGACTGATCTCAGAGAAGAGAAAGCTAGCTTGCTTGCTCTCTGTTTTTGTTTTTTAAAAATTTTTTAATTTATAATTTTTATTTTGTATGTGTGTAAGTATATTGCCTGCATGCAAGTGCACCCATGTTGTAAAGTGGCTGTGGAGGCCAGAAGGGGGCATCAGATCCCCTGGAACTGGTGTTAAAGACAGTTGTTAGTTGCTATGGGAGCTCAGAATCAAACCCCAGTCAGTGCTCTTAACCAGTGAGCCATCCCTCCAGCCATGTTGTTTTTGTTTTGTTTTGGTTTTTTTTTTTGTTGTTTGTTTGTTTGTTTTTGGTCTTTTTGGTCTCCCTGCAGCCCCAGTTGGCCTGAAACTCATTGTGTAGACCAGACTGGCCTTGAATTCAGAGATCCTCCTCCCTCTGACTCCTGAGTGCTGGGATTAAAAGGCATGCACCACCACACCCTGCCTGTTTTTGTTTTTTGAGACAAGGTCTCATTATGTACCCTTGTCTGGTCTGAAACTCATTATGTAGGCCAGTCTGGCCTTGAACTAAGAGATCCACCTGCCTCAACCTCAAATGTGCTGGGATTAAAGGCATGCACCTCTATGCCTGGCTGAGAAAGTTCTATTAAATCAGGAAAAAAGAGAGCCAAGGCTCAGTGGTGTCCACCTGTAATCCCAGCAGCACTCAGGAGCTGGAGGCAAGGAGAGCACGGGTTCAAGGTCAACCTGGACTATATAACAAGTCTGTAGCCAGCTTAGGCTAACAACTCACATATAAAAACAAAAGCAGAAAAGTGTGAGCCCTGGTGGTGTTGGGGGAAAGGTCCCATCAAGTCAAAAATGCCATTTGGTGGTCAGCTGGCTCCCAGGTCACCCTTCTCCCCCCTCCCCCGCACTGGGTGCCTCTTTTCCTGGCTGGTAACCTTCTTCACTAGAGTGTCCCCTTGCTGTGGCACAGCCTCAGGACAAAGGTGAAGGGAGGGGCAGCACATTTGCAGGGCCCCTGCCTGGCTCTGACACTTCCTCCTGGCCCAGAACTCCAGACCAAAGTCTTCCCTGCAAAATTTTGGAGGCAACCCAACTCCCACATGGCTCTTGAGAAGTCCCCCTTCTCAGAGATATGTCTTTGATTTTGCCCCAGGGGTTCTGAGTTCTCTGTTCACTGTGCAAGGTGCTGTGACACCGCCGTGGGAAAGTCCTTTCAGGGTCGACTGGTCTGCCACAGTCACCACAAGCTGCTCTTCTGCTGTTTCTCCAGCCTGGCTGGATGGTCCTTTGATTGTGCTGTATTTTCTTCCTCTCTTCCTGTTTCTACTTCACTTGATTTTACTGCTAACATCCACAGGTCTGGGCTGTGGCCATCCAGCGTCTATGCCCCATTGACAGCCAGAGTCTCAGAGCAAGCAGGGAAGGGACAGGAACCACCGACCCCAGAGCCACATTCCTGCCTTCAACCCCAAGCATGCACAGGGGAGGTGCTGTTTCTTTTGGATGTCTCCCTCCCACTTCTAGGACTGGTGTCAGGGAAGGAGCCAGCTGTAGATGCCATCTCTCCTGCCCTTCATGCTGTCTTCCCTCCTCTGCATTCATCTCTCCCAGTTTTTCCTCTGCTTTCTGGAAGATTTCCTTCACTCTAACTTCCAACCCTGCTGCTGGGTTGTTTTGTTTCTGCTTCTGTAGTTTTAACTTCCAAGAATTCTTGTTTGGTCCTGTTTATTAAGACAGGGTTCTGGGCTAATGAGACGGTTCTTCAAGTAAAGGAACCAACCACCAAACCTGTGACCTGTGTTCCAACTCCAGGACCCATTTGGTGGAAAGAGAACTGACTTCCAAAAAAGTGTTCTCTGACCACCAAATGTGCACTGTGACACATGTGCCCACACACATACATACACACACCCACCATACACATAAAATAAATAATTGTAAATTTAAAAATTAATAAAGTGGGGCTGGGGGCTGGAGAGACAGCTCAGCAGTTAAGAACACTGATTGTTCTTGCAGAAGACCCTGGTGCGAATCCCAGCGCCCACATGGCAGCTAACAAGTGTCCATAACTCCAGTCCCAGGGGATCTGACAGCCTTTTCTGACCTCCTCAGGCATTGCACGACACAGGTGCACTTGCCTACATGCAGGCAATAAACACACACACATAAAATAAAAATAATTAAAATTTTTTAAAAAGTGGGGCTGGAGAGATGCTTCAGTTGTTACAAGCACTTGTTACTTTTGAAGATGATTGCAATTCAATTCCCAGCATCCTCATCAGGAGGCTCACAGCCACCTGTAACTCCAGCTCTAGGGGATTCTGGCCTCTGTGGACGACACTGGCACACATGTGGCATATACATCTTTATTATCCTATTTACAGAAACATATTTATGATGTATCTTCTCTTATTTTCATGAGGATACAAATCTTTATTTTTCCTTTGCGGTTTCTCTTTGGGAAATAGTCTGTTTCAGGTGTGCTCAAACTGTAGCCTATTTGAACAGAACCCTCAAGGTAATAATATAGAGATTTTGGAAGAATGACCATGAAGAATATGGGATGGACTCTCTACGGGATGAGCAAAGCCTAAATAAAATGTCTCCCACTTGCCTCTTGGCCAAACAGGATTGTTGTCCATCACGCTCCACCCTCTTCCCACAAAATTTCTTGTAGATGCCTGAGCAGGCTTGGTTGTCCTTATGGCCTCCTGGTAAGTTAGGGGGATGTGGCTGCCCAGAGCACTAGGGGTTCAGGGTTCAGTGTGAGGTGGGATAGGGACCCAGATGTGCAGATAGGAGGCATGCACAGCTTCACTCAGAAACTGCACAGGTCCTGGGCTGGGGAGATGGCTCAGTTGCTAAAATGTTAGCGCCTGAGTTCCATCCCCAGAACCTAAGTTAAGAAGTCAGATACTGACCCTGTAATCCCGGCTATGGGGAGGACAAGACAGATCCTTAGAGGTCACTGGCCAGCTAGCATAGTCTACTTAGAGAAGTCCCAGGTCAATGAGAGACCCTGTCTCAAATAAAAAGTAGAAGGTACCTGAGGAACAACACACAAGGTTATCCTCTGACATACACACACATGAGAAACTGCACAGACCTGAAATGCAGAACTTGATGGCATGTCCCAAAGGGATACCTTATGACCAGCCCCAAAGATAGTAATAACCCCTCCAGCCACCACTGCTGGCTCCAGGGACCCACAGCCCACACTGATGTGCACGCTCCAGCTCATCAGGAAGGGGGAGACTCAGCTGTGGCTCCTGTTCCTGGGGTTGACTGAGCTCCGGGCTTCTCATGCAGAACTGTGTCAACATTTCTCCACACAGAGCAGCTGATGAATAAGGACACTGGCTGTAGATGGAACCCAGGATCATGCATGTGCTAAGCAAGAGCTTACCACAGAACTGCATCCCCAACCCATAATTTTCCTTTCTTATTTTCTTTTACATTTTTTGAATTATTTATTTATTTTTAATCTTTTTGAGGCAGGGTCTCCCTGTAGCCCCAGCTGGCCTGGAACTCACAGAGATCCACCTGCCTCTATCTCCCAAGTGCTAGGATTAAAGGTGTGCACCACCACACCCAGCTTTGAATTATTTATTTTATGTGTATGAGTCTTCTGCTTACATGCATCCAAGTATACCACATGTGTGCAATTTCAGTGGAGACCAGAAGAGGGCACTGGATTCCCTGGTACTGGAGTTAAGGACAGTTGTTAGCCACCATGTGGGTGCTGGGACCCAAACTCATTTCCTTTGGAAAAGTAGTAAGTGCTCTTAACCACTGAGCCATCTCTTCAGCCCCTAGACATTCTTTACTAGCATAAAGTTGTTACAATATTCTCCCATTACGTATTTTTTAATTATAATTTTGTATTTATTTTTATTTTATGTGTATGACTCTTTTGCCTGCATGTAGGTGTATTTGTGTCATGCAATGCCTGTGGAGGCCAGAAAAGGGCATCGGGTCCCCTGGAACTGGAGTTATAGACAACTTAGCTGCCATGTGGGTGCTAGGAACCAAACCCTGGTTTTCTGCAAGAGTAGCCAATGCTCTTAACTGCTGAGTCACCTCTCCAGGCCCCCACTACTTACTTGGTATCCTCATTTTCCATTTTATTATATGTGTGTGTGTCTGCACATGAATGTGGTGGCCAGAAGAGGGCATCAGATCCCCTGGAGCTGGAGTTACAGGTGGTTGTGAGGAGCTTGACATCGGTGCTGGGAATCAAACTCAGGTCCTCTGCAAGAGCAAGTGCTCTTAACTGATGAACCATCTCTCCAGCCCCAATATCTTTTCGTGCTTTTGTTTTTCTGAGACAAGGTCTCCATACATAGCCCAGCCTGGCCTGGAACCTGCAGTGACCCTGCCTCTGCCACTCCAGTGCTTGTATTTACAGGCATGAGCCACCATACCTGGCAGGGGACTGCTCTTTTTGATCTGGCTGCCCTGAGTCCACCCAGGGTTTTGCCCAGGGATGGGCAATGTAGCCACATTACCCCGTGAACTCTGAATGTATGTCTCTGGACAGAATAGAAGCCAGATTCCATGCCAGGTGTCCCGAGGATGCTGGGATGAGGCCAGTGGTACTCACACAGAAGAAACCATCACCATTGCAGGGTTCCCATTAGTCATGTGGAAAGAACTGAGTGCAGAGGGAAGAGAGGGAGAAGCAATAGTGTACTATTACTGTTGTGGTAAATGACCACAACAGTGAATTGAGGATGAAAACAAAGCAGGTGTCAGCAGCCCAGCACAGGACTCACTGGACCACAGTCACCCAGCACAGGTCATATATAGCTGGTTGTGTGCCTCCTAGGGGCTCTGAAGCAGGAAGGATCCACCTCCTCATGTATCTGGGCTGTTGAAAGTTCAGCTCCTCATGGTCGTAGGACTGAGGTGATGCTTCTGAGCTGGCTCTTGGCTGGGACAGTCCCAGCTTCCAGAAGCCACCAAATTCCCCATGCCTCCCCTTTCAGAACCACTGCCAGTAGCTAAGGCCCATTTGCCCTTCTGCTCATTTCTGACCACTCTAAGGACCTGTCTGATTAGACTGGGCTCACTGGAGGACAGAGGTCACAACCTTCCTCCTGGTCACATTTACAGATGTTCTTTGCCAGAGTGATTGCACACAGACACCTTTGGGAATATGCAGCCTGGTATGGTTGGGGACAGCTGAGGAACTAAAGCAATTCTCATGAGCTATCTCGAGAATATGTGGGTTTTCCAGTCACAGAATCCAAGTTTCTGTCACCCTAACTCAATTTGTAAGCCAGTCACCCTAGAGTCATAGCATGTGCTCCCCTCTTCCACCTCCTGCACTTGACCCAAGGTACCCTCCTACCTGGATGAGCTGGGCACTGGGAGTAGCCAGCAAATGCAGAGTGCAGGAGAGCTTCCGGAAGAAGCGTTCAGCAGGCACCCCGAGGCCTGCACTCCTGGCCCACTCCAAGAACTGCTGCAGGCGGGCACAGGCCTGGACACCTCTAGGCCAATGGAAGCAACTCAGTGAGGGTCCTGGGGAGGGAAGGGAGGATGAGGCCCACAGGACAGAGTCCCCAAAGCATGCTCAGACACGCTGAGCACATCCCCAGGCTACCTCAAGGACATCCTGTCTCACTTTCCAAGGCAATGCCCGCTGCCTAGAGCCTCTCCACAGTGGAGGGAGGAAATGAAACAGGCAGAGCACAGGGCGAGAGGGGCTGTGACAGCCACCAACTCTATCCTCCCGCCCTATACCATCCCATCCATGTCAGCCACAGCTAGGTGCTGTGGCTCGACCCTGTTTGGTACCCAGAGTCCCAGGGAGTGGTGGAGGAACAGTTTCTCAATAAGGCAAGGTCGAGGGTCAGTGTCTGTCGCAGCAATGGCCTGTGCAGCCGTCTCAGCCTGGCCTCTGAAGACCTGGTGGCAGGTAGCAGGTCTCCTGCAGGGCTCCTTCTACTAGACATGCTCTGAGCTTGTGTCCTAGCCTGGGCCTCATGTCCTCCTCCCGCAGGCACAGCCCCAGCATCTGGCCCCAGGAGAATGATCCCTTGGCAGTTGCACTGAGCATTTTAGAAGAAAAGCAAGTCACAGATCCGAGCACCACTCACCCTTGTCCAAGACCTGGTTGAGGAGCAGTGTGCCAGAGAAGAAGAAGAGATAGGCAAGCATTTGTGAGGCCACCTCGGGGTGCATGTGCAGCTGCCGCAGGAGGTCTGAGGCGGCCTGGAACACTGACACAATGCGGCGCAGTTCCTCGGGCAGCGCAGGCCCTGAGTGCCAGCTCTCATGGCGCTCTGTCTGAAATGGGGGGCATTCCAGGAGGGCCGGGAGGCAGGCGTACAGGCACTAGAGGCAAAAGAGAACCCCAAGAGTACCACTTACAGGGGTACTGGGACTAGGACTGGGCTGGGAGGCTCTGACCTAACAAGCTCGGGTTCCAGACTAAGGGACAAACAGCTAGGGTAAGGCCGCAGAACCCCTGGAGACTAATGGGAACAAGGACAGGAATAGCAGACTCAATGAGGCCTGGGCATGGTGGTCACTGAGCAGTGTTTGTGTCCAAGGTCTGATATCCTCCAGAGTTGCACTGTGGTGGCTCTGGAGCGATGGGGAAGGGTCAGGAGTGAGGGCCATACCCAGGGTCAGAGTGGAACTAGTACTGCTTTGTTCCTGTGGAAGCTGGCTCATCCGGGCTCTTCCCTGGAGCACCAAGGCCCTACGAGGGCCAGCAGCAGTGCAAGCCACACACACCTTGGAGAGGTAGTACACGCACTGCTGGAAGGCATACAGAACCACCTCCTCCAAGGCCGCCATGGCCTCCTCACTGGCTGTCAGTGTGCAGGAGAACAGCGACTCCTTGGAGCCTGCAGGAAGGAGAAGGGTCACAGGCTCACAGGCATCCCACCCAGCAGCAGCCAGGGCTCCATCATCTGACCAGTTCCTTGCACAGTGCTCTGACCAGTACTCCTATCTGGGTTCAGGGCTATGGCAACCCGGGGCCTAGCCCAGGCAGTCACACTGGACAAGTCTGCATGCTACTGAACCAGGCCACCAACCTCCCTTGCTCCCCCCTTCCTTCTTTCTTTCCCTTCCTCTTCTCCTTTGCCCTTCTTTCCTTCCTTCACTCTCCTTCTTCCCTCCCTCTTTCCTTTTCCTCCCTCCTTCCTTCCTCCCCCCTTCCTCCCCTTCCTCTCCTCTCCTCTGTCCTTCCTTCACCTCACCATGTTAGGCAGGCATTCTACCACACTGAGCTCCTTTTATCTTTTGTTTTGACATGAAGTCTCATTAAGGTCCCCAGCTTGGCCTTGAACTCACTCTGTAGCTCAGGATAGACCCCTGAGTAGCTGGGATGACAGACCTGAGCCCCAGACTATATTCTTCATCAGAAGTGGCCACAGAACTCCAGCAGATCCTAACTTGGCACAGAGGTCACCTCTTTAGGGACACAGGTCAAGGGACTTGCACAGCAGCCCTTGGGGAGTCAAAATGCCCTCTCAAGAAGAAAGAAATTCAAATTGCTACACACTCCACCCCACACCTGGGGGCCAATGACCCCAGCCACCAACCATATATGTGCAGCCCAGGCATGTGCACTGCCACACAGAGACCATAAAGGAGAATGGGGCGCTGTCCAAGACAGTGAATGAGGGACCCTTCCATCTGTGGCAGGCCTGTGTGTACCCAGAGGATCCAAAGCCACTTCACTCCAGGGAAAAAGGGCAAAGGGTAGGATGCCGGGAAGAGGAAGGGGCAGTGGGCTAAGGGGAAAACAGGAGGAGCAGGCAGGATGAGGCTGTGGGACAGGCACCAACAGAGAGGGCATAGGGATCCTCCATGGGTGCAATGAACGTTTCTTTTGCTCCGGCCTGGGTCATCAGAGGCAGGGCCACTAAGGTCCCTAAGCACCTGGGACTGGCCAAACAGCCCAAAGGCTTCACTGATGTCAAGAAAATGAGTAGCTTTGTTTTTTTCAAAGGACAGCAGAGTCCTGTGGGACAAAAAAGAGCCAGGGGGCTCTGGCCCTGGGTCACTGAGTGCCTGGTCAGAACATGGAATCCCTTGCAGGCCATCCCATGCTCCTGGCTCTGCCCAAGACTGCCCAGATTGTCCCCAGCCCCACACAGCTCTCAGCATACACACATCAGCTGAAACCTCTCTGGGCCTCAAGGTCTGGCCCTAACACTGCCTCCTTTTGTTTGTGTGTGTGTATATGTGTGCACATGTATATGCATGTGTACATATGTGCAGCTATGTGTATATGGAAGCCAGAGGTCAACCTCAAGTGTCATTCCTCAGGAGCTGTCCACCTTGTTTTTTGAGACAGGGTCTCTCACTTGGCCTAGAACTTGCAGATTCGGCTAAGTTGGCTGGCCAGTGAACCCCAGGGGTCCACCTCACCATCACTGGAATTATGATCAATCATGTGACACCATGCCTGGTTTCTTATGTGCGTGCTACAGATGGAACTCAGACCTTCATTCTTGCCAATAAGAACTTTACTGACTGAGCCATCACATATGTGCATGCACAGATATGTGTATTTATATGTGTGCATGCATGTGTGGAAGACAGAGGTCAACCTTGGGTGTTGTTCCCCAGGAGCTGTCCACTTTGTTTTTTTTTTTAATTAGCAATGCTAATAAGAAAGAAACATAAGTAGCTGGGCATGGCAGCACACACCTTTAATCCCAGCACTCAGGAGACAGAGGTAGGTAGATCTCTATGAGACCGAGGCCAGCCTGGTCAACATAGTGACTTCTAAGCTAGCTGGGGTTACAGGGAGATCTTGTCTCAAAAAGACCAAAAAAAAAAAAAAAAAGTAAATAAAATAAATATGATTACACGGAAAAACTTTGTATAGACTGGAGAATTTAGGAAGGGAGTGAATGCCTAATTCACATTACAGCAATGGTGATAAATCTCACAGTATCGTTGAAGCTTGGTAGTACAGTTTTGTCAGTAAATAATAACCAAAAATTACCCTAGACATATAGAACTGTGCATTTCATTCTAAAATACAATTACATATTTTGAGTTTGAGAAGTAGTTATTGCAGCACTTTTTAAAAAAACTTCCCAGACTGTGACTGTTTTATCTCTAGAAGTTCAATTATATATTTTACATTTTCTGTAGGGCACAGATGAAGGTACACTGGGGCTATGGAAGAGTAATAGAAAACCTCTTTGTGTCTGGAAATGGGAAAGGTCCAAGGTCAAGACCCAGATGCCCAGGACCACATGTGGAATCAAGACCACAGCTGGCCCTCAGGGGAGGTGGGAGGCCCATTCTAGAGAATCAGACCTCCCAAAGCTAGAAACTGCAAATACCAGAAACCTCCGGTGTCCCCAGCATAAGCTCAACACAGAGGCAAAGCCACTGCTGTGCACAACTTGGGACCTCAGGGGAGGAGGCTGTGGGGAATGCAGCCACTCAGAGAAGGCTGAAACTGTTCCCCAACATCAGGAATTCTCCATCCTCCAATCTGCACCACCATCAGCCCACAACCATGGCTCCCATTAGGGGACCAAAGCTCCAGGCTCACAAGGGTACCACAGTTGTAGTTCACAGGAAGGGACCACAGCTCCAGGTTCACAGGAGGGGACCACAGCTTCAGGTTCAGGGGAAGGGACCACAGCTCTAGCTCACAGGAGTAAACCACAACTCCAGGCTCCTGGGGGCTTTGGAGCAGGAAGGACCCACCTCCTCATGTATCTGGGCTGTTGAAAGTTCAGCTCCTCATGGTCGTAGGACTGAGGTGATGCTTCTGAGCTGGCTCTTGGCTGGGACAGTCCCAGCTTCCAGAAGCCACCAAATTCCCCATGCCTCCCCTTTCAGAACCACTGCCAGTAGCTAAGGCCCATTTGCCCTTCTGCTCATTTCTGACCACTCTAAGGACCTGTCTGATTAGACTGGGCTCACTGGAGGACAGAGGTCACAACCTTCCTCCTGGTCACATTTACAGATGTTCTTTGCCAGAGTGATTGCACACAGACACCTTTGGGAATATGCAGCCTGGTATGGTTGGGGACAGCTGAGGAACTAAAGCAATTCTCATGAGCTATCTCGAGAATATGTGGGTTTTCCAGTCACAGAATCCAAGTTTCTGTCACCCTAACTCAATTTGTAAGCCAGTCACCCTAGAGTCATAGCATGTGCTCCCCTCTTCCACCTCCTGCACTTGACCCAAGGTACCCTCCTACCTGGATGAGCTGGGCACTGGGAGTAGCCAGCAAATGCAGAGTGTAGAAGTACTGGGGTTACAGGTGCACACCACTACACTTGGCTTTTTACTTGAGTGCTAGAGATGAAACTCAGGTCCTCAGGCTTGCATGGCAAGCACTCTACCAAATGACCCATCTCCCCAGCCTTTGTTTGTTTCCATGGGATAAGATCTCACTATACGGCCCAGGCTGGCCTTGAACTCATGATCCTCCTGCTTCCTGATCCCTAGTGCTGAGATCACATGCATGTGCCACCACACTCAGTTCCAATGTCAGTTTCACAGAGCTGGCCCCAACAGAATCACTGGGTATTTTGAGAACAGTTCCTACTGTATTTCAGGAATGCTAATTTAAGGTGTACTTCCTGCATCTTAATCGTTGAAACTGACTTGCTCTACCATCTTATAGTTATGATTGGCAGCATTCTTCCCTTCTGGAAAAATGATGCATCTAGGAGCCCTGCATTCAGTTTCTAGCATGCATATGTTTCCCCACCGAGTGACCTATGCACCCTCAGCCTCCAGAAAGCAGAAGAAAGCCGGTTATAGTGCATGGGTCATGAGATGATGGGAACCAGCAGAGTGCCACATGGTGGGCCCCAGAGGTGCCAAGTCAGTCCAAAGCATCAGCACTGGCCTTGTCAGATGTCCACATCACAGCTGAAGAAGCTCTGACATGAAGCCAGCTCTGCCCATGCCAAGAGACTGTACCTGTGACATCCAGGTCTTCTTCCAGGCTTCGCATGTACACTGGGCATTTCTGCTGGATGAAGTACAGGAGCTCGATGGAGTTGGACATCCAGAAGAGAATGTGCTGCAGGTCAGGAACCAGGTCGGCCATGGGAAAGCTGGCCCAGGAGATGGGTTCCTGGCTAAGATAGGAAGACTGATGAATCACTGGGTGTGGAAGAGGGGCTCAGTCTGCTCTTTTGTCTGCATGGCGACAGTTGTCATTGTGGGACTTTAACAGAAGCAAGTACCACTGTCAACTCCCAAGGACTTAGGAACCCACTTGACACTTGGCAGCCAGTGGCTCCAAAATATAGCAAAAAGGACATGCAGGCACCATGGCCACTGGGAGACAACGCTGGTAAGAAAATTGCTGTTGTAGTTGCTGTTCCAGGACTAGATGATGACTGTGAATATGGACAGAGTTTGGGTACACACACACACACACACACACACACGCACACGCACACGCACACGCACATGCGCGCACACGCACACGCCAGGAGTACAGTCTGTGACTTTTAGGACAAGAAACCTGAGTATAAGTGTGTTATTTAGGAAAAAGGAATAGGCCTTTCAACAGGTTATTTAAGAAGGCAATTCTCTGTGATTTTTATACAATATAATTTGATGGTATTTAGATTACATCCTCTCCCCTCTGCACTGCCCCCTGCCCAATTTAATGCCTATAGAGTCTGATTTGTATTCCCAAATGTCCACTGGACCCACCAAGTCCTATCCCTGTAAGACACTGTCTTTTCTCCTCCCAGGAGCCATCAATTGCCAAAAATTCCTTAGGTTGGGTTAGGATTTCTTACCCACTTCCCCAAGTCTCGGTAGGGATTTAGTCTGGTTTGAGCTTTCAGACTTCCCTTCAGAGGGTGTTTAAGGACTTAGATCTTATATGCTATAGGTTGTTTTCTTGAGAAAGGCTCTCCCAGCACAGGCGATCCTGCCTTGGCCTCCTGAGTGCTGGGATTACAGGTATGAATCACCTAATGCCTTGCTACAGATGTTTGTATATCACCATGAACAAGCAACAAACTGCAATGTAGTTACAAGGAAGTATCAAGAAGTATAGTGGGTTGATTATTACTATATATTTAAAGGGTCTCTGACTAATACCACATATTTGTAGGGTCTCTGTCCCCTAGAGAAATCTAACAGAAGAGCAAAGAACTTTGACTAAAAGACTTCTTGTTATATCTGGAATCCAACATGATCCAGAAGCAAGAAATAAACACAATGATTTAGTTTGCCTAATGGCATAAAATAAAATAATTGTTCACAAACAGAAAAAAAAGGCAATTCTCAGAGGATACAGAGAACAGAGCTATCTGGGACATGCATAAATTAAATACAACTTTATCAAAAATAGGAAGTCAGGAGAGAATGTTTAAAAGTAAAGGATCCAGAGGCAGCAATCAGGGCAGAGAATATAGCTCAGTGGAGGAGTGTCTGCCTAGAATCCCACAGTGATGGACTGAGGGTGTGGCTCAGTACTAGGGTACCTGTCTAGACTCCCCCAGTGAGGAACTGGGATGTGGCTCAGTGGTAGAGCACCTGCCTAGAACCCCCGCCCAGTGAGGGGCTGGGAGTGTGGCTCAGTGGTAGAGCTCCTGCCTAGAATCCCCCAGTGAGGGTCTGGGGCATGGCTCAGTGGTAGAGCACCTGCCTAGAATCTCCCAATTGGGGTTGAGTGTGTGGACCAGTGATAGAGCACCTGCCTAGCTTGCACAAGGTCCTGGGTTCAATCCTAGCACCACAAGAAAAAGTCAGGTAGTAATGAAAGCATGTTCTTCAAGGATTTAGAGGCAACTATTAGAAAAGTTGACATGAGCAGTCACTGGAGGTCACCTTGAGATCTGAATGGGGAGCAGGGCCATCTGGGTTTCCACACTACCATCTGCAGTTTGATGCCCAAGCCACAGGGGGGCACTATTACTCTGGTTAATGAAACAAACAGGTACTGATCTAGGTGCTGCCTGGCATCTAGGCAAGACCTTGGGGGCAGCTCAGACCCCTCCCATGGCCAGCCTGGGGCAAGGTTACTTTCCTCCCAGGCCTACCGCCTCCCAGCTAGGGACTTCTTTTTCTTGGGACTGTGGTAACTGCTGGCACCTGCTTGCTTAATGTCCTTCAGGCCCTAGGTTAGCTCCCACAAACTCAAAGCCACCTGGAACCATCTCCCTTGCTGAGTCTCTCACACATTGGTCCCAAGAACATGTTGCTGTCAATCACTCTATGTAGTTTGTAACTTTTTTTATTGTCTTCCCTCTGAACACCTGGGGGATGGGTGTGTTGGGGTGTTGCTGAGAATCTTGACAATTCACTAAAATGCCAACATGCATTGATTGTTTTTCTTTTCCTGAGACAGAATCCATGTAGCCATGGCTGGCCTCCAACTCACGAACCTCCTGTCTCAGGTTCCCTAGTGCTGTGATTTACAGATGTGCCTGGCATGATTTCTCCTCTTTTCAAAATACAGTACAGGCCTAACATTAAGTCTGGGACTGGCTGTGAGCACTGCCTTGGGTCCCTGAGGCTCAGGAGAGTGGGTTTTCCCAGAAGCCTCTACAAGCACATCTGCTGGACTGTGCTGAGCACTCCACCCCCAGGTGTGTGACACAGGAACCCAACTCCTACTTGGGCTGGCCTCCCAGAGAAAAGGGTCCCAGAGTGGCCTCAGGATTCCTCCTTGAGGGAATTCTGAGAAGTTGCCATCCCACCTACCACAGGGCATCCAGATGTACAGGTTGACCCCGCCCATGCCTGGAGGCAAGGATCAGGCTTCCCAACCAGGCCTGTGCCTGGAAAGGGTCAAAGATGAAAGCTTTCAAAAGAGAGACTGGCGCCTGGCATTTGCTGTCTCTACACAGCCTGGGGCTCCTAGGGAAAGGGCACATCCATGGTAAAATCTGGAGACCACATGGGGCTGGTGTGAGAGCCTCAGAGGGTGGGTTTAGCTTCTCCTTTGCAGTCCCAGGCTCTACCAAGGGCCTAGACCAGGAAGACATTGGCTTTACCACTGTTTGCTGCGGAACAGATCTGCTGTGGGTCACAGCTTCTGCACTTAACTTGCCCAGTGTCAAGTCCTGCTGATCCTCCACCCCAGTCTGAGCTACATATCCCAATGCAGGTAGGTGTAAAGGGTTGCATGAGGTCAGAAGAGCATTCATTTGGCTCTGAAGAGCGTGATCCCATTTTGTTTTCAACATTTGCTGCATTCTTCAGTTTCTCAAGAGCTCTAAGGGGCAGGCAGGCTGGGAAGCAAATCAGCAAGTATCTTACCACCTGGAGAACCCAGGCAACATCCACACCTGACACACACCCCTGGTCACTGCACATGGTGGCCTCTCTAAGCCGGGCCCAGGAGACAAATCTTATCCCACCAAGGTCTATCTGGACAAGGAGGCAGGAGTAATCCTGAAGCAATCCTAGTGAAAGAGAGGCTCAACTTCAGACACCACTGGAATCAAGTCGGGGAGGTGAAGGGCTGCACGAGGCCTTAAAGGGAGGCACTCCCTGGACATCAACAAGACATCCCCTATACAATGGCCCTAAGCAAACAGCAAATGCAGACAGCTCACTGGGCTTCTACTCCTGGAAGCAGGGCTCTGGAAATGCCCACCCTTGTGCATGAAGAGTGTGGGTGGGGCCATACCTGTGGTGGCCAAACCTGGACAGGGAACTACAGAGCACAGAGCACCACCAAAGAGGAGGGCAGGCTTCATCAGTTAACCTGGACGGGTGTCTCACCCAGGAGGAAGAGAAAGGGAGGCAGACAGGAAGGAAAGGGGAAGCAGCAAGCAGGAAGGGAAGGAGGGGGGAGGGGAAGGGAGGAAGGAAGGAGTGGAAAGGGGGAAGGAGGGAAGGAGAAAGAGAGGGGGATGGAGGGAGGAGGGAGAAAGGGAGGGAGGGAGGAAGGGAGGGAGGGGGAGGGAGGCTACAAAGGAGGAAAGAAGGAAAGAAAAGGTTCTCATGGAGTTGCCTATTGTTAAATAAATTCAGAAAGCTACTACGTTTTGGCTTAACAGCCCATACTAAAAACCTGAACAGTCACCCACACTCAAGTTCCACTCCACCAACTCCAAGCTAAGATGAGAGCAAGTTTCCTCCAACAGTCCAGTTTAATCAGCACAACAAAGTTCCCTCTGCTTTAATCATTAAACCGAACCCGCAGCCCGGAGTGACCCCTGCTAACCAAACAACTTTTCTATTGTTCCCGTTCCCAGTCCCCATCTGCAAGGAGAGCCACAGGGAAACCACCCTCCACTTGAGTTTTACCCCTTCAAGTTTTACCCCTGCTTGGCTCACTGGAACATTTTATTTTATGGAACAAAGTGTTGCTCAGTTCTAGAATCAAAAATAAAGCAAATTAATTGCTTTATTACATGATTGTGTGTGTGTGGAGGGGGGGTGTTGGTCGTGTGGGTGGGTCTCATGGCACCTAGGTGGAGGTCAAAGGGGAACTTGCAGGAGTCAGGTCTCTCCTACCAGGTGAGTCCTAGGGCTCCAACTCTGGTCAGCAGACTTGGCAAACCCTTCTACTGTCAGAGCTCTCAACCGCCCCCAGTTAAGATCTTTAAGCAGAGTTGTAATGTTGCCTTTTGATAACAGTAAAGTGAGCGTCTTGCTGTTTTTTTTTTTTTAAGATAGGTCCTCATTAACTGGGTAACACTGGCTGAAATTAGAATTCTGCCTCCTGAGGACTCGATTAAAGGCAGAGAGAGGGAGGGAGGGAGGGAGGGAGGGAAGAAGAAGGAAAAGGGAGGGGGGACTGAGTAAGTGGGGAAGGAGGAAGGGGGAGGGAGGGAGCCCATCCCAGAAATGACAGCAATAGGCCCAGAGCTGCGAGACCAGGACCCAGAACCCAGCTGGCTGGTCACCACAGGAAATGACCCAGAAGGGCTCTCTAGAACATACTGACTGCCAGTGGGAATGGGACAAGGGACAGGGTGAGAGCAGGGGTGGCACAGGAGAGTGCCCCAATAAAGCCACAGAAGACAGAGACCAGGAAACAATTGCATTTGAAGTGACAGAAAGGCAGGCCAGGTGTGGTGGTAACACACCTTTAATCCCAGCACTCTGGAGGCAGAGGCAGGCCGGTCTCTGTGAGTTCCAGGCCAGCCTGGGTTACACA